GGGGGGGGGAGGGGGGGGGGAGGGGGAAAGGGAACACTTTTCATTTTTGCTACTTCCCATCGACGTGCCAACCCATCCAGAGAGCCATTTCGTGAGCTTACAAGAGTTCACAGGTTTCACCAGAGTGAGACTTGTAAATCGGAACTGAAGCAGCGAAAGTGCGAAGTGGCCCCTCTTCCCGTCACCGAACTGCGCTGAAATCGGTCACATAGCACCTAAGGACGAGGAAACATCATTGTATCACTGCTGATTAGATCCATGTATGTCATTCACGTGACGTTAAGGACACGCCATGCCGAGTACCAGCATCAGCTTTCGTTACCCCCTGATTGAGCGAAAAGCAGTACCTCAGGATCCTTCATCGCTTCGGCAACCTCTGGATCAGTCAAGAGATCACCCAATCCACCTGTTGGGTCAGCACCTCCAAAGTCTTCATTAGCTCCTGACTGAAAACATGTTTGTGAACTAAAGACCGTTCAACAGTCTACAACTCGTCATAGTTCAGAACACAATAGAGACTTTGCTCACGAATAACCCTACCTTCGCAGCCTCTTCCTGCGCTTTGCGGTTAGCCTCCTGCGCACGTCGCACCCGTTCACGACGTTCGCGAAGTTCACGTTCTTCAGCTTGACGGGCTACGGCGCGATTGTATTCCTGGATCTTTTTCGCCTGCAATACGCGACAGTTCATGTTCGATTCGACATTTTATTGGTGCTCATTCTTCCAAAAGTGCAAAATCAAGGAAGCCTAGACAGTTATTAATCAAATGGCATTCCTCTAGATGAAAACCATAGGGCGTGCAGCTGATGCATGTTGACTAATCTGTGGTCTTTTTTCATGAAAGCAACATTCTGGAGAATGATGGTCATGATCCCCTGTGGAATGTCAGATGATAAATCTTCGCAAATAGTATTGAATGACCTTAGGCGTACTTATCAGAACCCTTCATGAAGAATGGAGAGTTGGCGGAGGAGGGGGGGGGGGGCGGCGTAGGGGGTGACGGTCTCGTGAGCTCAGGCACAGGCCAATAGCGCGATCCTTTCACACTTGCAATTTCAGCTCCACGTATTTTGATCAAGTGAAGTGCACGGCTCAACCGAAAAAACTGCACTATTTTCTGGACTTGTGAAAGAAGTATCTTTCACCCAACATTAGATGGAAATCTTGAAAGCAATCAATTGGACTCTTACAACTTTTCACTCCAAGAGTTGTACCCAAGTTTATTTTCATGTTTAGTTCAGCTGTCACGAGTCCGGTCATGAGGGCGGCAGTTCCTATCGTCAAAGTTAAGTTCTGATCGTGCAGTTTTTCATGCTCATGAACTTTCTAATTTTACAGCATTTCAAGCTCATGAACTTTGTGTAACATAATTCGAAGCGACAACAACCTTTCGTCCGGTTCACAACAGAAATTTCCGGTGAATAGCAAAGATAGAAAAATGTCAGTTCCCATCGTTTAAGCAGTTCGTTCTACGGCCGACCCGGACTTTGCACTGACAAATGAATCGAATCTTCACACATTAATATTGATCCCCTTCATTTTCTATAAAAATAATCCCGTACTCATAAGAAAACTACTGGCATAAACATTCGAGATATCCAACTTGGCACTTTTTTCACCTCAAAGCTACTTATCTATGTAGCCTCACATGCGTTCAGAAACAAGGGGACATGAGAAAAGAACCTGTAGTCGATAGAGCACCGTTTGCCTATGACTTCGCGATGACGAACAATATGCCACAAACTACCACTGCTTAGCGCTTTCAGTGCTATGAACAGTACGCGGCCGTAGATGGGTATCGATCGGGGCCGACCGCTTGATTTTGAGAGAGAGAGGGGGGCATAGGTCAAAGAGGGGGTAGGCGCTGCCTTCACACAATCTGCAACCCTCGTATTCTTCTACACTCTCGCCAAAGTACAAGCGGCTGACACCGATCGATACTCGTCTGCAACTGCGTACCCATCTATAGTATTGGAGAGCCATCAGAGTGATAAAACGCTTGACGCACGCTTACAGCGCGTCGTCGCGCGTCATCGCGAAATCTGAAGGCCGGCGATATCAACATCAGCTCAACGTGACGATCGCCTCCAACACACCGTAAGACGAAACCTAACAAGCTTAGACCATCAGCGAATCCGGAAGATTACCAAAACGGAGATATAGACCCTGCCTGTGATATACCAAGCAGGTTATCCTTACGGCTGTCTTCCTCGATGTGTTCGACTAAGGACGCGAGGACACCAACAACAACCATGTCACCATCTGACGAAGCGACACTCTTGAAAACAGCCAAACAAATCCCATGTAAGAGATGGTACAGTCCACAATGATTCGTCCTATCGAGCCCATTCCTTGGAAAGATGTATCTAATGAACTGTAAGAAGTGTAGCATCCTTAAGTGGGACGTGCCACGCAGTCAATTTCATTCAGTAGAGAACTGAGAGCGAAGCTTCCCATGCGATAAGCTTGGAAAAGGTTAGCCAACATGCAAGCCCATGTCAATTATCTTCCCAATAGAAGTATGGTAACAGATAACCATACCAAACCCGGAGGAGTGGTACGCATGAGAACTCGGCGAATTTCAATCCATTTACCATGCGTGCGGTAAGAACGATGCTTACCACTGCTTCGCCTTCCTAGTGAAGATTTTTTTAGCCTTGTCCTCTCACTTTCCAGCATCATCGATTATATCAACGACAGGTGCATACGAATGCTTCATGAAAAAGTAAACGTCTCCAGACACCAACGCGGAAAACATCGTTTATCGTGCAATAACACCTCAGCTGCACGATGATGGGCAATTGTCCGCCATGAACAAAAGGAATACGCCTCATGGTGAGCACATGTGGTGCTTTGCATTGCAGCACTATACCATTGACTCGTATTTATTTATAACACATGATAATTTCTTCCAAAGTATAAAACGTGACAAGAAGCCGACAAACGCCTACATTCTTCTGTGTACGAACTCGCAGAGTTCATTTTGCAATGTGTATTACAAACCGAATGAGGGGGAGGATAGACTAGTGTGCACCTTGACAACTTCGTAAGAAACAACTAACAGGCGGCCATGAAGACCTCAGCGGAAACCCCTATCTACACCCCATCATGTCACGTGTGGGAGGAGGGTTTTCAGGGTGCAGACAAAATCGATCTCCTCCTCTTACGGTCGGTTTGTATTACACACTGCAAAGTTAACTCTGCGAGCTTGCACAGGGGATGAAGGCGTTCGCTAGATTTGTATCACGTTGTAAATGTGGCAAGAAAACACCACTCATTACATACAAATACGAGCCCAATGCATATTTCTGTATCGATGCTCAAATAGACCCGCGCTCATCCAATTCTAGGCTTTCATCTTTGCCCAAGTAGTCCGAAGCATAGTCCTAGGGATTATCCACCTTCGCGGCTCTAGTGTGAGGAAACAGGGTGCAGCCATCATAAGCTGTATTTATATACGGTATACAGTACGACATAGCGTATATAACTGCAACTTATGAATTCAGCAGCGCCCTCTTTGTTGCGATCACGCACTCGACTACTGGGGAAATGGAATCGTACGAATCGCTGAGGAGACTGTCTTTCAGAGGTGCGTCACAAGCTCAAACTTGATCGTGAGGGCCCCTGAATATCATAGGACTAAGATACATCCCTTTGTCAGAGGTGGTGCCTTCACCCTTCCACGTAGTGCTGCATCAATCAATTGGCCCCGATGAATTGGAAACCCGGATGTCTCGCAGAAACTATCAAAACCTGCACCACGCCACTAGCGCCAATTGCACCATTCCGCAAGCAGTACTGATATAATATCCCTTCGAGTAGCGCCCACAGCCAGAAGCAGAGTAGCAAGGATGGCGCAGGTTATAAGGACGTCTAAAGAACTTTGGCCGATATCTGCTGAAGAGAAGTTTTCTTCCGCTAACGAGCAAATCCACATTTTCCATGTAGATGACGCTTCAATATGCACAAAAATGCTTGAAAATTATCTACCGCACTTTCCAGTAAAAGATAAGTGTGGCAGACATCTGTCAAGCGTTGGGTACAGCTTAGTGTAATTGTCAAAACTCATTTCACGTGATGCGTTTTTCACACATATTTTGTAATTACCATCGCATGTTTCCGCGAATCAGAGGGGGTGGTACGGACAACGCTTGATGTAGCGCTTTGCTTCGGGAGAAGACTTCACAGTACGGTCGCTCTTTGGCACAAGATCCATTTCCATTTCATCAGAGCTTATAGAGGGAAAAGACAATTTCTCAGCATCGCCATAATTTCGACCATATAGGGACTGCTCCCTCATACCCAACAGGCAAGCAGCAAGATTACAAGGGCGTACAAGTGTCGATCGCGCCTACTCGAAAGATTTCGTGTCTCTCAGTAGAACGCTTGTGGCGACCTTTCGCCAATGAAGGCAATCCCTACGATGGCTGCATCACCAAGGTGCAACAATCCGCGCCCATATGCGCCTACCCACCTGTCCGCATCCTTTATAGGCCGAATCGTCACATCGAAGCTGATATTCTTATCGTTCCATTTATGAGCTACGATAGATATGAACATGGATATATGAATACATACGCACAGCCATATCTACCATACGATTGTTGCACGATGCCAACGGGAAACTCGTCCAGAAATGCTCCCTGATGCCCCGCCAAACAAAAGTTCTTCCTCAGGGTTTTGACCTTTTCACTTCGGCGTTCGTTCAACTTTCGCACACTATCTATCAGCACTGTGCCTCAACTTTTTCTGACAATAATCGGCATTACTCGGAGTTTATGGCGTCTAACGTTACTTCTGGTAAAAACAGCGACACATTACGATGAACGCTGAGTGACTGATTGATTATATTTTGACCTACCTTAACTCCCAAAAGAAATTCTACGCTGCAAGACTATGCTAAAAGCGTCAAGCTGAGAAGGCAAGAAGCAGCCCTGGTGGAGAAACGAATAGCGCAGTCGCCCGAAAGCGTGAGGTGCGGGTTATACAGTCTGTTTCTTGCGCTGGGGACTTATATGCCCATAATGGTGATCAGCCATGCGTAACAAGACTAACAAGCAAATAATAAACAAATATTACTGGCCTACTACCTTCTCCACTGTCCTGCGCAGCGTCGCTAACGGCAGGACACCACCTCACGCCTATCCAAAAATCACAAAGGAGTCTTTATCCACTGGTTGAATCAACATTGTCGCATTGAGCACTGAATTACCTCCCGCGGCTGCAACATCTCCTTGCACAATGCAATTCCCAAGTCGGAGATCCACACACTGACTCGACTTCGCTGCCACAACTTTCCAGGACGAGAAAAATTGAAGTAAAAATTGAATAAGTGAATCATCAAAATAGCGACAAAATAGCCATTCATCTTCACGAGAAGCTTTGGGCGGGGCAAACAAAAGGACAGCTGGCTTCATCAGTGCGAGGCATGTCGCGTCGTTGAACGACGGCATCTTAGCCCTGGCGAATATCCACTACCCTTATCGACTAATCTATCTATGTCATAGCACTATCTCTGATATCATGTACTATCTTCTCTAATTAGCTGCAGTGCACAGCTGTCAGGTAAGCCACCCGCAGCAAATTTGAGTGTGTCGTAAATTCCGGTTCGCCTTGTGCCCATGTGCCTCAATTTCTCGGAGGAAAATTTCTAAAATACATTTTTAGCAAGCTTAACATTGACTGATTCATGGGACCGCAAGCGGCTTAATGTCGACAAACACCAACTGCGAAGTTCAATTTCGTCCGTTCCTACGATGAGATATCAATCAAAGGTAAATAGTCATCGGCTTGAGATCAGATCACTTTCAAATCCGCCTGTTAAACTTGTAATCGATACTGCTGCACAGTCGGCCAAGTGTATCCATCCAATACTACGCATATCCATTTCATCCTGACAACATATGTTTGTGCATCCCATCGATCAATTGCCCAAGCCTTCCTGCTGTTGATTTTCCAACAGCTGCCATGGGAAAAACTTGGGCAAAACGCGCAATTGTAACCGAATTTTTCGAGAATATAGGAAAATCCTTACGTTTCCGAAAATCCCTTGGCTAGACATCTGCAATAGCCGAAAGTAAAGTGTAATTTTTTGAGCTGAAGAGCGCGCATACACAAAGTGTGAGATTTCTAGACGACTTGCGGTGACGAGCCATGTGTCTGTCGCGGCTCAGAAAGTTTCGCTGCTATGTTTTTTCTCCTCTCCGAAAAACTTCCCCAGCAGTTGGTGAAGACGATCACAATGAAGATCTCTCAGTGAAAACTTCCAGGGGTTCAAGCCCATTGCTTAAAGGCAGTTGGCACGATGGTTTCCTACTTAGCCTAAAATGCTAGTAGGGCGCTGTATAGTGGGGAAATGGCGAAAGAACGGTCAAAATCCTGCGAAGAAAAAGCCTCCGTTCTCAGTGACTTGTAAATCGACGGACGAGTTTCCCGTAGGCATCTTACCAATCACCGCTACCGAAGATACGGCTGCATATGTGTACCCATGTATGCATGCAGCATCACGGCCGCTTCATACCAATCCCTTCGCTTCATAATTTGCTTAGCAAATGAATGAATACGAGCGTCAGGAACGGTCGTCCATTTGGGCGGGCGGGCGTGGCGGGCGTTTGGGACGTAAAGTTGTGGCTTGATAGGGCCCTTATAAGGGCACCTTCCTCGGGAAACCGCTATGCAGCGCCTGCCCAGGGTCGCGGAATTCTATCCTGCCAGGAGTATTGATCCTAGTCGCCTTGGGGGATTTATCGTGCCAACTGCCTTTAATGTTCCTAGGTGATATCAATGACCAATATGACGCAGATTGGCTTGCTAAGGGCATTTCGTTAGTTCCCACTGACTGACGATACCTCCTGTGGACACATGGATATTCCTATAAAGCTATGCAATACTAGGAGCTCCATTTATAGTGGACAGGTCCTACCAAGATAAGAATGGTAAATCAAGACGAATCCTGAAGGCCAAGTGGCGCACGATAAATCCCCAGACATAAAAGAAGTCACCTACGTCAAGCAGGATAAGAATTTGCTACATGAACAAGCGCTACCTGAAGCTGGGCCGCGTGACGCCTCCTCCAAAAAAAGTACCCTTATAGCACCTTATCAGACTGCAACATATCGACTCAGACGCCAGCCGCGTCGCTCGCCTACAAACGTCCCACTAATAGTGATGGCCGTCGCTTCATTTGCAAGTACAATATGAAGCGTATGAAGCGGCTGCGGTGGTGCATGGACTTATGAGAACATACATGCGGTGGGTACTGGCACGATGCCAACGGGAAACTCGTCCGGATTAATATTCTGGAGTCGTGCTAGAACAAGTTGACACTGTCACTGTCTGCTAGAAAACAAAGTTTTTTTTGGAGGTTTGACCGTCCCACTTCGTTTTTCCGTCACTTCCCCCACTACAAAGCACCCCTGCTAACATTTTAGACTGAGTACCATATTGTCGTGTTGTGCCTTCATCAGTACGAACCGACGGCATCGATATCGAGATAATAACCAAGATCACGGGGACATAGGTCGTCTTCACTTCGCTGCATATTATTGCTTTGTAAAAGTTCGCCAAAGTGAGAACAGTTTTCAATATGAATGTGTTCCTCTGCAAATCCTTGTAGGACCATGTTTGACTATGGTTTTGTTCTACAGCTTCTGCCAAGCTGATCGCTGAGAAGGCCGCCACCACGACCTCAGCAAATCAGCATAGCGGAAGCTACATAACCAAACTGGAGTTGAACATGGATTCATTTATTCGCGCTCAAATGAAGTACACAGCCACGCCTGCCATTTCTGTGATAAAGGGGCGCTTATAATGGAAGCTGCCACGACCTGTGGACTTTCACTGCAGCAATGTAAAAGAGCGGGCCATGCTGTCTGATGAAACCTTGAAGATGGCAGATTATCAAACCCTAAGTACCCTGAAGACTATTAAATGAAGCATTCTCAAATATTCCGGCTTCGCTACTCCATGAGTTGTTAGTGCATCTCGAAACTCCTTCGTCAATTCCCCGTGTTGTAGTCAGATGTTCAGCAGCACTTGACTATGACTGAACGTACACCATGGCAGTGTGGAAAAAGTCAGTGTCAGTCCGACCACACGTTGAGAGAGGGCCTCAATACGACCTTTTCTATCGACTTCTGCTGAACAGCGGGGGAGAGGCAAACACCGCATCAGCTGTTATATAGTAAACTTCGACTTCTCCAGCTGGCCAAGTGGGGGGGTGTCAACATAAAAAATTCCCAGCCAATCACATACGCCCTCCCTAGAGAGTTAGACGACCCTGCTGATGGCTGATGCCAACATTGAAGGACGCTGAAACCAAGGGCCACATAATTCTACCCTTTCCAGAATCACCATCTCAACTATCCGTATTCACAAATGGAATTACTGTGCCAGTAGCCGTGGAAGAACGACATCTGCACGGAATATGGGACGACATCCACCTAGTGGGCAATGTGACGACGGTCATCGTTACCAATCTCGGCATCGACGAGATGAACTCCGATCATCTCGTCATTATGCAGAGATTATCAAAAACCATCACTCCGTTGATTGTCGTTGAATTCGGTCAGTTCGCTTTCTTCATGTGTTTCCGTTTAATTTTTCCACAGCAAACCCTAACCTCAATAATGTTAAAACTTCAACAGTACTTAACAATTGTCCCGGACCATATGACTGAAGAAAAGCTGACGTGACTAGTTTAGCAATCAAGTTTCCTTCGCATCTCTGCCCCATCACTTTTTCAAAAGTCAAATGGAGTCGAGTTGATGGGGGCCTCAATCAATGCGAACGAACTCTGCACCCAACGAAATTAGGGGAAACCCTATTCAACCGTCTGACTGCAAAAACGAATAGGAAGCGTTCCCTTCCCAAAAACGTCCGCAAATGGCATGCTCTTCAGAGCGCAGCAGCCGAAGGATTCTCCCAACATCTCGGGTTAAAGTCTTCTCGATTCAATGGACCATTTGAAAAGGGAACCCTGCTTTTATAAGGACTCCTTTGGAGAAGGTGCACCAAAGACCGGTCCAAATACAACCCTGGACAGCGGAAAATTTATGACGTCATCAATTAGCCAGCGTGGACGTCACGGTGTAATACCTTTGGCTGTGGTCCCCTGCCATTTATCTTTTCCGCGAACCCTGATCCATCACTTTGAATAGCTTGAATCCATTCTAAAAAGAAGATAAAGGGTGAACTTCCGCCACTGGTCAATAATACCTTTAGGATGCGGCACGCATTCTACTTCTATTCGGAAATCAGTAGAAGCATATTTTGATGCGTTTTGGCCTATGCACTGACTTTTGCGAGTCAGCCAGTGCATAAATCTGTTTTTATCTTTCCAGACGAGACCGCTACAAATTAACCGCATGCAAGAAAGCTTCGCTGACCAGGGCGGACGCTATGGGACCCACCGCGCGGGGTAGATAGGCTACTAGCCACTGCAAAAACCTCCACCTCAGCCTCCAAATATGGTCATAAATTGTATATCCTCCACTTGCGAGGGTGCTGGAGCAGAAACGGACGGGTGCCTTTGGAAAAAGTAGGGCTATTTCCAGCTTGATCAGCTGTTACTACCCCTTTTTACTTTTGCATGTTATTCGGCCCACTGCACATGATAGAGAAGAGCAGCACAAATAACACGTGATCGTTACTGATCAAACGCCAGAGAATTCCTGCCGCCACCTGTATATCCACATCGCTTTTATAAGCGTTGACTGACCGAGCAGACAGGAGAGCGGGGCACACTCAATGCTTCATGGAAACATTTTCAAAATCTCAATGACTACAGCCTAGACATTTGAACCTCAGAGAACCATTTTCAGGAGGAAATGGGAGCCTCGAAACTCGAGCTCTCCTCGACGAAACCGCCATATGCCTTCTTGGGTGGCCGTGTAGGAAACGCTTCCCCAAATGTTGTCTACTTTTGCAACGGTGCCTATCCAGAGATGCTACCGAATCTCCAGATCGACAACCTTCACGATATCAAACCTTCCGAGCTGAACAAGAAGTCGTCTACTCCACAAGAGGCTGCATTCTGGCCTCGATTTTTCGTTTCAGCTGCAAAAGAACATCGACATCATGATCATCGACACGAACACCACGAACACCATGGTGCTCATCATCATGGTCATTACCATCACCACCACCATAGGCACCATGTGAGTTCCACATTTCAATAGAATTCAATTCAATGCGTTCATACTATGCGTCAACGTTGACCAGCGACTAGATCATGTAGGTATCGATCTAGCGTACACCAGCGTATCCCACGTACAGCAGTGTTTTCGTGGGCATTTTTGCACAAGCTCAAACTATCCGGGTACGCTAGATCGATATCTATACTTTTATAGTCGCGCGAAACGCTGCTGGACGCTGGGGAACGCTGACGCAAAGCATGAACGCAGCCTGATATTTCCATGTTTATTCAAAATTCCGAGCATTTCGTGACAAATTTCCCCATGGAGCACGTCATCCTAAGAATTTTCTCTATCAACTATCCGAGCAAAGAACTCGTACTTCACAGGTGTTCCTATCCCATGCCGCCAATCTATTAAAATTTGATCCATGTCTTCCACCGGGTACTCAAGAGCCTGACGTTGAACGCGTGCAGAATAGAAACGTGATGTTCAACAACATCACGATTTTTTGATAAAAAAGTAAGGGTCATGTGTTTCAGCTTGGAAATGAGACCCATGTTTACATTTTGAAGATGGTCGGGGGCGTTTGATGACTTCCGCCTATATTTACTGGCATTTTTGCAAAGAGCTTGAGAGCATTTTTTCAATACCATTCTTAAGTAGCCAATACTCACGAGCCTTCCGGACTTTAAGCTTTTCGATTCGTATCCCACTACTAAACTCTGACCCCTAGGGCCATGTGGTATCATAGGAAGCGAGGAACAAAGCAAATTCAAGTAGGCTCCAGCCAGTGAGCACATATTACTTTCGTTTTCTGTGTATAAGAGTCTTTAGTTGAGTTCTGAAATGCCCTAACTTTGGTTCCACTTTCCAACCCGGCTCATCATTAGCTGTTTGTCTTCAAAGTCTCTGGCACAATTGGTGAAAGCGAGCGGTGGTTGCTGGCGTCATTGGTGGAAGGGGTGCGAAGGGACATTTGGCCACATCCTACTCAGCCCTTCCACCAATGACGTTGGCGACAACCGCCCGCTCCAGTCATCGTGCCCACTGCCTTTAAATGCTACGGTTTTTGGTCATATGGGGGTTTCGCTTACCGCCCATATCCTCAATGACCCCAAATAGCTTAGTTTGAGATGAACTATTTCTATATAGGCAAGTCTACAAACCACCCAGCTGAACCGAGTAATGTCAACACCCGAAGTCCATCATTGAAAGAAAAAAAAATGAGGAAATTTTATCCCTTATCTAGTTTTGCCTCAATGTGGAATCAATAGAAGAGCAAGGCAGGGTTAAGGGACAGGCTACCTGCCTTTACGTCCTCGTTTACACACTCAGCACGACTTCTTCGTTCAAAGACACAGTTCGGGGGTTGCCGAGTAGGCGGCGCAAGGGAAAATGTCTTCGGCGCTTTTTCTCTTCCTGCCTTCTTCATAAAAGACAGAATGAGGAAGGTGCGCCACGCCGACGTCGACACCTTGGCTCCGTTCTCTATGTAATTTTGGAAAGTTTCTTTAGATGGACTTGCACTACCGTCTTGATTTTTTTTCGAGAAAAACCTTAATCTAGGAACTATGCAAAGTGTAACCCGATTTGGTCCAGCAGATCGGGGCTTGCAAGGGGCATATAGCATTTTAGTTCGTCCCTAAATACATATTTCTTTACTAATTTACATATTTTTACTTTTTGGGCATTCATACTTCCAAATGCTAGCAGCACTTCAATCTGGTTTTTTTTCAGTTCGATGAAGACGTCGACGAAATCGTTGATCAAATCATGGAGGAAATCGCGGAAGAGGTCCCAGTCATCAGCGAGCCCGCAAAAGAAGCAAAAGAATATGATAAAAAATTACGCTGTAAGTTCAGAAAGTCCTGCTATGAGACTGGAATAAAACCCGAATTGGAAACCGTAGTCACCCGCTTTGTAAAAAAGTGGTTTCCACAATGGATTGAGGATGAGGACGCTGCTAAGAAAGAGGAAGTAGAAGAGGAGGAGATGCAAAAGCCTTACGATGTCGAAGAAGATCTTGTACCTCAGAAACTACGCTGCAGATACCGTATCTCATGCTATCAAGAACGAGGTATTCCATTCGACGAGCAAGCAGAGGAACGACGAAAAGTTCTACTATCGAGTAAACGTGTAATTCAGGAAAAAGGACAAAAGAAAACTCTAAAGGAAATCGCCGCTGACACACTGAAGATGGTACAAGAGGCAGGAGAAAAGGCTGCAAAGCGTCCTGTTGTAAAGGTCGTCGAAAAGCGTTTGAATGCTATTGAAGAGAAGCTCAACGAGAAGCTTAACTGTAAATATCGTAAGAGCTGCTATGAAACCGGCCAGAAACCCGTCGTTGCCGATGCCTGGTCTCTACCGCTACCAATAAAAATCTTTTCTACTGAGCCAGCCGAAGCAGCAACTAAAGAGATCAACTATAACGAACTGGAAGAGCTCGAAAAGAAAGTCTACTGTAAATATCGCAAGAGTTGTTATGAGACCGGTATCAAACCCGATATTGACCCAGAAATCTTCGTGCGTACGTTCCGCGATCTTTTCACCATACATGAGCAAGTCGAACCGCGAAAGATGACAATACAAGAGAAATGCAAGTACCGAAAGTCCTGCTACGAGACAGGTATTGTACCTGAGATCAATCCGAAAGCTGGAGGAAGTGATCCACAAAGAGGTCAGCGCTGTCATACCCACAACCGCACAAGACTTGCGTATCCTGTGTAAGTACAGAAAATCATGCTACGCTGAAATACACGACTCAGCCACTGTGGATACTGTAAAGTTCATCAGAAAACGTCGTCAAATCGAAAAGGAAGTGCGACGGCGACGAGCTAAACGAGCAAAGCTCCATCGACGCTTCCGCGGTGAGCTACAGCTTGACAGTTATCGACGGCACCATGGACGGAATAGAAGCAGGGAGTATGAACACCCGAAAAAACCGGAAGAGCCTGAGAAACGGGAAGAGCAGGAAGATGTTGAGGAGGTTATCGATGTGAAGATTATTCCTCCGAAGAGAGGACGAAAAGAGAAAGTCAAGGAGAAACAGGAAGAGGTCACGGAAAGGCCCTCCAAGCAAGACATCCAAGTACCGGAAGCCAAAACAACAGCAACAGAAAGCCGACTCTGAGGAGGAAGTCGTTGACGAACCAGTGTCGATGCCAACAACAGAAGTTGAAAAGGATGATTATTCCGTCCAGCAAAGAAACCTCGGAAGGGAAAGAAAGCAAAAGCTGAAGAGCCGAAAAAGGAAAAGAAGATCGTAAAGAAGGAGGAAAAAGAGGAA